AAATAAATAAATAAAATATTTGATTATCAATATAGAAATTATGCGAATGCGCATCACTTTTCGAAACTTCAAATTTTTTAAAATATAATATTTTAGAATTCTAGAATAAATTTAATGGAAGAGATTGTTAGAGACAGATAAAAATTTCAAATGTGTATGAATCATATCTTAAAATTAATATTCTTAAATTTATGTTAAAGCTTACCATATTATAAAAATAAAAATTATAATTAGATAAGTTATTCCTAGTTTGTATTAAAAAATATTTATTGTATTAAGAAATATCTTTTATTTTTTTGACAAGAAATACTTGTTGTATTTTTTTTTTAGAATAAAATATGATATTTGTTGTATTACCTTTTTTTTTTTTTACAAGAAAAAAAGAAGATGTTATATTACCTTTTTTGTTTGTTTGTTTGTTGTATTACTTTTTATTTTTTTTATTTTTTTCACGATATTATTTTCTTCATTTTAGTTTTTTTTTTAAGACAAAAGTAAAAACCTATCTTCTTTTTATTTGTTTTTTTTAACGATATTATTTTTTTATTTTTTTATTTTTTATGAAGACAAAAAGTGAATATTACACAATAGGAATTTGGGATTCGAACTTGGGACATCAAGTATAAAAACACTACTGCTAACCACCGCAGCCCTTCACGTGCTCAAAAGAGTTCTCGATAATAATTATCTATATTGAATAAATTTTCAACATAATATCGCTTAACATAAGTCCCACATCGAAGAATTGGAAAAAATTTATATGGTATAAAAACCTTTACAAAAGCCCGCGGTAATATTGTGAACAAAATTACCAAAATGTCCTTAGTTAAGGACTGGCCCTGTGACATCACTAGGCGGTTGGAATCGTGATTTATGACGTAATCAGCATCTGGCATCGCGATTTATGACGTAATTGGAGCGATTCACTGTTCAAAATCGCCGATTCTCTTCTATCCTAGTTTTACAGAAGAATCGACGAGGGGTGACCCATTCCTGTGCGAGTTCGTTGCGACTCGTCGATTTTTAAAATCCTGGTATCGAGTGATATCTTTTCAATACTAGAAATCTTTGTGATAGCCTGAAAATTTATTTTCATCTCTAATTATAATATTTAAAGTTTCAAAAATAGTGTAGATCAAGCATATCTTTGAAAACTTGAAAATCTTAAAAATCGACGGTCCAAAAATACATTATAAGATGTACTATTTTCAAAACTTGAAATCCATTTTTTCTCGTGACAATGCATCTAGAGGTCGAGATGATCAATTTGAAGATTTTTGAGTCTCAAAGCAATCTTTTCTGATGAATTTTTGTGGTGCTTCTTAATTTGTTTGTTATATAAACTTTTTCCTTTATAGCCCTCGTTGTATGTGTTTTCATGCGGAGATCATAAGCGTTATATTTAGGAAAAATAATTTATTTTTTTTCCTCCTATTTTTTCAGCCATTCTAGAAGGTCGGAGCCGACGGTACAAGGGTAAAATCGTCAAGGACTATTAAATAATTGGGCAGCTTGGTATCGAAATCTGAACCTTATCATGCTTGATCAGGACCATCAGTTCATCCCTTGGGAGGAGTGTAGATCTCAACCATTCATTCTATCTTCCCACTTGCACATTTTGCAGTGTGCACATGCATGCACTGCGCACGATCTGTTTATATATTATTTTGTGTGATGGATGATGGGGAAAGCATGCATGCATGCAGGCATGATGATAGGTGTAGCATCTGCCACATGTATCCTCATGAAAGATGGATGAGAGCAGTTCATCCTAACCGTCTGATCTTGACACGGAAGGTTGACGATACATGCTGCCTCTGTTTGTATGCTACGTGCATCAATAATAACGACTGATTATATGTCATTATGCTACATGCATAATGCATTATAATATAATGATAAAAATAATTAATGATGTAGTAGCAATAATTAATGGCAGATAATATGTTTTTCTAACAATAAAATAAAAAATAATTATTTAACCGACTCTAAATAATTACGAAAAAAAAGTACAATAATAACGATAGAAGATGATTTCATATAAAAATATTAATGGAGTTAACACGGAAAGGTAGCAATAATACATTTTAATATAATGGATGATGGATAACAACTATAAGGACAGATAACTAACTAACCCAAAAAATAATGACTGATAATATGTCACTTTTAATTTTTAACACTTCTTTATAATTTTTAACAGTTCTTTTTTTTTTTTCTAAGGCTATTTTCAACAATTCAATAGAGAGGAGATTTATAATAAGAATATTAATGGAGTTAACAATAAAGGTCATGACAAAGATCACACGTGGAAAAAGGGACCAAAGGTAAAAGAACAAGTGTAAAAATATATAATATAATGCCACATGCCACTGATTTTCTGGTAAGGAAATTAGGTTACTGTCCTTTGCTTTTAGAAGCATGGCTCTCTTTTTCTCTCCATCATTTATGTTTTTTTTTACAATATTAAAAGACTTTATTGATATTAGAGTCAAGAAACATAAAAAGCACGGTCACAAACAAGAACACCAGGTAAATACATACCCCTTTGGGCGAAACTATGAGCCACATCACACCCCGTTGGGCTAAACCATCAGCCACATCATACCCCTTTGCGCTAAACCATCAGCCACATGGTTTGTTCGTTTGTGAATAGATGATAGATGTAAGTCAAAGAATGGAAAAATTATAGATACCCTCAAATTTGTATTTTCTAGGTATTGCCTGGTATTTTTTTTATACTACACTATTAACTCTATACTATTCTTTTGCAATCACCTCTAAGTATAAAAATTGACTTTTTTTTAGACCAAATAACCGTTTTCCTTTTGTTTCGGACCGGCACAACACATTTTTGTGCGACCTACACGTATTGGGTGTCATGTTTTGTATAGAATGAGACGATTTACTTTTAGTACAAGGTGTTTACGATTAATCTTGACTGGTAGATGTGAAATTGGGTGATTGCATTTATTCCATTGACCAAGCTCAAAGTTCAAAAGAAATTTTGTCAAACTTTGTGATACATTCAAGCTATAAAATTTCACATCGGAACGCTGGCGACCGCTATGAAAGTTACATACGGTGGCAGTAACTTGTCGATAACGTCTCTGTAAGTGTGGGTAGTCCATGTCCCACATCTTTTGTGAAGCCAATATGGTGGCTGATATTCTTGCAAAGAGGGCTACATCTTATCAAAGAGCTACTGTTTGACGTTCTCGTCCGCCGGATTTTACTTGTCTTGCTTTAAGTCATGATTTGGCACAGGTGCCTTGCTCTAGGGTTTTACGGTACTGAGCTGCAAACTTTTTATTTCTTACTTATTAATGAAAAATGGGTAGGGGGCTTTCTCCCCTACTGACTTACCCCAAAAAAAACAAAAAAAATAATATTCACATCGGATGGTTGTAAGTAAGTGTGACTACTTTGGACCAAAGATGCAACATAAAAATTATATACTTTCCCAAATCCAACCGTCCATTTTGAATTGAGGGTTAAGATGGCCCAAATCACAATGTCATGTCTCTACACTATTTTATTTTTAGTTTTTTCCATAAAATATTTTGACACCAAATTTTGAGCGTCCAATCCTCTAATAAAATTGTACATATAAAAAATATAAAAAATAGTTTTTAAAAAATAAAATAACCAAAATAACCACCAAAAGTTTCAAGTGTATTTTGGTCACTATATTTTATCAAAATTATTTATAATAGTTTTTTTGGAGGAAGTTAAAAATAAAATACCCTGAAACGTCGGATCTAAAATCAAACAGTGCGTGGCCCACTTTAACAAAATTGGATGGCTGGATGGTAAGGAAAGCATAGATCTTCTATGTTGTAGGAGAAGTATAGAAACCTTTCCCTTGTATATAATCCCCAAAAAAAAAAAAAAGTAGTTGAGGTTAATAATTTGGTATCACAAATATTAAGAAGAAGATGCCTAGAAAGTACAAATTAAGGATATTTATCATTTTCTCTATAGAGGCCAGCATCTTTCCTAATTTGGCTCGAATTAAGGATATTTATCCTTAGGATTGGATGAGTAAGTTAGGAGAGGGCCCCTGCCCTTTGCAAGATTTAGAGCCCTACCCTTTTGTAAGAATTGAATTGAGCATAGGACATAGCATTTCATATCGTCAAGCGCTAACCAATTAAGCCCAAGATCCTTTCCTATAAGTTTCAAAGTATAATATATTATTTTCAACACCACTTTATAAAAATGAGAGAGTCCCCTTCTCCAATTAAATGTCTTGTCACGAAAATTAAGAATCCCTTGTAGGAGAGACTTACTAAAAACAAAACATACTCTGTTCCTTCACTTCACGGGTTCATGAAAAATACTATTCTCCATCACTCTCGCTTTCTATTTTTCTCCTTTTTTTATTCGGTTAAGTATTTCTTATTTAAATCTCTCTGTCTCTTTCTCTCTCTTCGTTCTTATTCATAATCTTCACATAGTTTTTCAACGATTCAGGTCCCCAGAAAACTGTTTTAAGCTACCGGATTCTCACAGTTCACTAAAAATAATGGAAAAAACGAATACTAAGCAGTTGCCATGGAAATTCAGCATTTTCATAAGGAATATTAATAAAGTAGCCGAAAATACTGACTGCAATGGCTTTTCCAAATATAGAGCACGGCAAGTGTCTATCCTCCTGTCCAAAAATAGGAAAAAGCTGATGTCACTTATTCACCAGTGATCCAATCTAAAGCATTGTAACAGACACGAGTTAATCATCTGCCGTTAAAATCCACCCCACCCTTTTCAATAAGAAAAGAGCCCATCCCCATGACTGCAACAGATTTAGATCTCAAAAAGCAATTTTCATTTATGAAAAAAAAAAATTTAGATGATAATAAGAAGGAAGGAAGAAGCTTCTGTATCTTTGTTTGTTTCTTTCGTTGGAAAAAACAGATGTTATGTCTATCCAGACACCTCAGTGGTCCTCCTGTTATAAATTGGGCACACAGAAAGAGAGCCTCCATTATACACATCATCTTCTATTTAAAATCCTTTCCTTTCTCCTTTCTAACACACAGTAGTTCCAACCATGGCTGCAGCATTCTCAGGACCTTCCCTGGTGAGCCCAAGAAAAGCCTAACTTCTTTGTTTTGCTTATTTTTCTACCCCCTCCGCTTCTCTCTCTTTCTATTTTTTTTTTGTCTCTCATGTAATTTTTTTAAGCTAGGAGAAAGGTCTATGTCAATTGCTTCAATTAGACAAGAAAATAGAATTTTTTTTTAAGCTAGGAGAAATGTCCAAGTCAATTGCTTCAATTAGACAAGAAAATAGTCAAGGTTGTCTCAATCAAGGGCTTTTCACACCTTGAGAAACCACCGGACAATTCTCTCATTGTAATAAGCAGGTTATCGGTTTAGAAATAGTTAGTGGTTTCAAATGCGTTAGTAGGAATGGAACCTAGACCAATGTCTGAGACTCGGTGGTGCTACCACCACGACCTCAGCCCAGTTCCCTATGTATGTATAGTCCTTTTAGATCGTATTTGCTTGTTCTAAAGCCATGCATTAAACTCTTTGCTAGTTTTTACAATGAACTAAATTTGAAAGATTTTTAAATGCCATATTGCATTCTATAACGATCAAACCACAAATTCATGTTGATAGGGAAAGCAATTGGTATGATCGTTGTTTCTCTATGGTCATGAGTGTCAGCATCATAGTAAAGAGGCTGGGTCATGATGGCAGCACCTCCATACCTAGTTACCACGTTGTGGTTTTCAATCTTGCTGACAACACCCACTGACAACTTAAAAAAAAAAGTTCTCCATAATCTATCTGAGAAAATGGGTGGGCCAGTCTTCCCCACTGAATTATCCAAAAAAAAAAGTGTTAGCATCATCAAATTAATAGGTTAGAGAGCAATGGTACGTACAATTTCATGAAAGATCTAGACAATGATGACCCTAAGCACGATCATATAGTTCATAGTAGAAGTCCAATATACATATATGAGAACTTATAATAAGTAATCTAGGGTCTATGTAAATTCGTAGACCACCCAAATGATGGATAGTGATGGAGATGCTAGTACTTTAGCTGCGTAAAATACTTTGTTATATTTCAAAGTAATATAAGGTTTAATGTAGGCTTCCTAATCTTTTAATAATTTTGAGAGATAAAGTAGTGGGTTTTAACCCCACATTGAAGATTTGAATGGGTATTGAGTGATATTTATGTGAGAGTATTATCATATATCATGTTCATAGAATAAAAGTGAGAGTGCCGCGAAGCATGCGGAGGCATGACATTGGCTACTTTAGTTGGAAGGTGATTGTTGGGTTAGTAAGGCACCATAGTTCACTACTTTATCAAAAGGATTGTTTTTCTCACTTTTTACTTTCTTTTTCTCTCACTTTCACTCTCCTGTACTGTATCTCTCTACCCAAGTTTCTCTCATTCTCTAATTTGAAATTCCTCTCTCTCTCTACTATTACACTACTCTCGTATATAATGTAGGCTTCTGGTTCATGTGCATAGAACTTAAAATCTAATTTGAGACTTTTGTTAACTACCCAAACAAAAATTATGTTTTACACTCTTTTTCTCTTGCTTTCACTCTTCCGTATTCTCTCTCTCTAACTAATTTTATTTCTCTCTAAATTGAACTTCTCTCTCTCTCTCCTATTATAATACTCTCGTGCAAACTGTAGGCTTCTGGTTGACGTGCATAGAACTTATAAGCTAATTTGATACCTTATGTCTTCCTATATCTTGAGGACAATCCATTTTAAGCACACTTATTTTTAGTACACAAAAAGCGCTACTGTGTGCCTGTATTTCACCCAACTTATTCCAACAGCAGATGCACTGTTTATCACCAATTACCTCATAAACAAGTTACATCCCCTCGCCATTACAATTCATCATTTCAATGGATGTGATATCCTAATGACCATGTTAAAACATAGGACAATGTATACACCCCACATGTGCATGAGCATAGAGCACGCACATGCACGATGATTCTCACAAGCAAGATGATCCTTTCAAGTACGTAAATTGGTAAATAATCCTAATTTTGAAATGATTGCTAGATGATGGACGAGGAAGGGAGGTTTGGGGCAGAAGTCGCTGACGTGCAGTCATGGTGGAGCTCTGAGAGGTTCCGGCTGACTCGCCGACCCTACACTGCCAGAGAGGTGGTGGCATTGCGAGGGAGCCTGAGACAGAGCTATGCATCAAATGAGCTTGCCAAGAAGCTTTGGCGAACCCTAAAAACCCACCAAGCAAACAAGACAACCTCGAGGACCTTCGGTGCCCTAGATCCGGTCCAAGTAACCATGATGGCCAAATACTTGGACACTGTGTACGTGTCTGGGTGGCAATGCTCCTCCACCCACACCTCAACCAATGAGCCTGGGCCCGACTTAGCGGACTACCCCTATGATACAGTTCCCAACAAAGTTGAACACCTCTTCTTTGCTCAACAATATCATGATAGGAAGCAAAATGAGGCTCGTATGAACATGAGTCGAGAAGAGAGGGCTAGGACCCCTTACGTAGATTATTTGAAGCCTATAATAGCAGATGGAGATACTGGGTTCGGTGGGGCCACCGCCACGGTTAAGCTTTGCAAGCTCTTCGTGGAAAGGGGCGCAGCCGGGGTCCATATTGAGGACCAATCATCTATGACCAAAAAATGTGGCCATATGGCAGGGAAGGTGTTGGTCTCAATCGGAGAGCACATTAACCGGCTTGTGGCCGCCAGGCTCCAATTTGACATAATGGGGGTTGAGACTGTGCTCGTAGCACGCACCGATGCGGTGGCCGCCAACCTCATCCAAACTAATGTGGACTCAAGGGATCACCAATTCATATTGGGGGTCACAAACCCTAATCTTAAGGGGAGGGCCTTGGCCACTCTCCTAGTAGAGGCCATGGCTGCTGGGAAAAATGGCTTGGAGCTACAAGCCATAGAAGACGAGTGGTTGGCTAAGGCCGGCCTCATAACTTTCTCTGAATGTGTCATGAATGCGATAAACAGGTTGAATATTGGAGAGGGAGAAAAGCGGTGGAGATTGAATGAGTGGGAGAAGCTCTCAGGTTACAATAATTGCCTCTCTAACGAGAAGGCTAGAGAAATAGCCACGGGGTTCGGGTTGAAAGACTTGTATTGGGACTGGGATTTGCCGAGGACCCGAGAAGGATTTTATAGGTTCAAGGGCTCAGTAATGGCGGCAGTCGTTAGGGGATGGGCCTTTGCCCCTCATGCTGACCTCATATGGATGGAGACCTCAAGCCCTGACTTGGTTGAGTGCACCAAGTTTGCACAAGGGGTTAAGTCGGTGCACCCTGAAATAATGTTTGCTTACAACCTCTCTCCTTCTTTCAATTGGGATGCATCAGGAATGACTGATGCACAGATGAGGGATTTTATACCTCAGATTGCGAGGTTGGGCTACTGTTGGCAGTTCATAACCCTTGCTGGGTTCCATGCAAATGCACTAGTCATTGACACTTTTGCCAAGGATTTCGCAAGGAGGGGGATGCTTACTTATGTGGAAAGGATTCAGAGGGAGGAGAGAAACAATGGGGTTGATACACTTGCGCATCAGAAGTGGTCTGGTGCTAATTATTATGACAGGGTGCTCAAGACAGTTCAAGGCGGTATGTCTTCGACTGCAGCCATGGGCAAAGGCAAGTATCCCACCAGCTCAAAGAATAGTTTTATTTCCTCTTCTTCTTGAATATCAAACTAAATTTCAGTATAATTAATTTCTTAAAAGGATTTTTTTTTTCAATTGCAAAAATTAGATGGCTGATATGTGAAATTTCAGTAGTCTTAAATTTGAAGAAGATTGACACTACAAATATGCTCTAGGAACTTTTATTCAAATTTCAGTCAGAAATAAGATCAAATTCCATCCAAAGTTCAATTTAAAACGGTTAATCAGCACATGGGTGCTGACTGGAAATATGAGAAGCCAAATCATGCTTTGACTTCAATTTGTCTACAGAAGCGAACACCACTGCTACTTCAGAGACAGCAATTGTGCTATTTACGCCACTTCAAACTGTTTTTATTTATTCTGATCATTGCCATTTTTTATTTAATTATTGGTAAGTTGCATGCAGGGGTAACTGAAGAGCAGTTCAAAGAAACATGGGGAAATACCAGAGCTATTGACATGAATGGAAGTGGAGAAGTGATTGCCAAGTCAAGAATGTAGCAAGACTGTTAAAACCAAGATAGTAGAGCCTTGGTTTAATTTCACGTGTTTTATCGATGGGTGGCAGACATTTATATTCCTTCTCAAATGCAGCTTACTAGAATAATTTAATAAATAATTTCCAATTGGGATTTCACTCTCTATTATTCTCACTGAGCCACCAATTGTTCACTAGAAACTTACCTAGATATTATATATTCAGTTGAAATTTTGGAAATTTTATGAGTGCTGAGCACTTCCATCTTTACGGGTTGGGTCGTGGTGGTAGCACCCCCACACCTCAATCACCACGTTGTAGCTTTCATTCCTATTGACACCACCCTACTAACACCTTAAAAAAAACCTAACTCCTAGAATATTTGAAAAACGGGTAGGTACCTGTCCTCCGCATTGAAGTAACCAATAAAAACTCACCCATGTAAAACTGAGCTTCAAGTCTTGCTTTCAAACAGAGCACCTTAGTATTGTTTGTGTGTAGGGATTGCATATCATTTTACATAACCTATGCTACTTGCATCCTTCAGATGTTGGCCACCATCTTCTCAACAATATTCTACCACTGAAAATTCTTCACACATTGGAAGGATTATTCCAGACTGTCACAGGAAATAGGCATTGGAGACTGACATGAGAATACAAAAAGTATACAGTAAATATACAACTTCAGGAAAAAAAAGGTAAATTGCCGATTCGCTACTGTAGAATCCCTGATTGTTAGCTAATATGCTTTCTTCAATAAATTTCTAGTTTGTCTTAGTTAATAACTTTTTATATTTTAAAAACCTGCTAGGCCCCATCGATCTCCTCCACATGGAAGTCTTATTTTTAAAATCCAACCGACACATGTAAAAAGGATGGCCTCCTCCATACTTCACGTTGCAAATTCCTTGCCCACATTTACAATGTGGAACTAATTATCAACTCTCTCTCTCT